TGTATACTATTGAAATTAACTTGGTATTAATCCAAATTTGATTTTTTTAAGTTAAGATGTTAATTATAATCCCCAAGACAACCACTAAGAAAAGAACTCAAAAACATAGAGTAAAAGAAATGACAAAGGAATTAAAACGATATACCAGAAAACAACTATTTAACACAAAAGAAAACAGTAATGGAGATTTAGAGAAACAAAATAGACATAAGACAAAAAAAATAGACATAAGTCACACAGAATACAAATAGCAAAATGGCAGATGTAAAAAACTATTGATAATTACATTAATTGAAAATGGACTAAAGATTGCAATCAAAAGGCAGAAATTTGCAGAATGGATAATAAAGAAAAATGATCCACTCTTCCTAGGTGCTGCCTACAGAGGTGGCAGCCATCTCTTACTTGGCACCCTGGCTGCCCTCAGAGCTCTGGTGAAGCCCAAGATTGTCAAAAAGAGGATCAAGAAGTTCATCTGGCACCAGTCAGACTGATATGTTAAAATTAAGCCTTACTGGCGGAAACCCAGAGCACAGACAATAGGGTGCGCAGAAGATTCATGGGCCAGATCGTGATGCCCAGCACTGGTTATAAGAGCAACAAGAAAAAAAAGCACATGCTGACCAGTGGCTTTTGGAAGTGCCTGGTCCACAACATAAAGGATCTTCAAGTGCTGCTGATGTGCAATACATCTTACTGTGCTGAGATTGCTCACAACATCTCCTCAAAGAACTGCAAAGCCATGGTGGAAAGAGCAGCCCAGCTGGCCATCAGAATCACCAATCCCAACGCCAGGCTGCACAGCAAAGAAAATGAATAGACAGCTTGTGTGCACATTGTATTGTGTTAGTAAAACCATAAAATTATGCCCCCCCGCCAAAAAAAGATCCAACTATATGCTGTCTACAAAAGACAAACTGTGGATTCAAAGACAAAAATAAGTTGCAAGGAAAAGAATGGAAAAATATATAATACACAAACAGTATCCAAAAGATAGCTGGAGTAGCTATACTAATATCAGACAAAATAGATTTTATGACAAAAATGTTTCTAGAGCCAAAGAAGGATATATTATAATGATAAAATGTTCAATCTGTCAGGAAGACATAACAATTATAAATATATATGCACAACACAGTCCCAGAACACATGAAGTAAGACACATGAATAAAATTGAAAGGCGACAGCCAACCGAGTGGGGCGTGTTGGTTAAGAGTTGGCCAGTTCGGATCCCACATGGGCCAGTGATGCTGCCCTCTACAGCCAAGATGGTGAACAACAGCTCGACCTGGAGGTGGGCTGCTGTGAATCGCTGGCGACGGCGTAGGCTGCAGTGGGGCTGGCCGGCAGCTGGTGTGAGCTTTTGTGAGCTGCCATGAGCCACTGTGAGCGGCTGTCCAATGGCCCATGAGTGACTGTCTCACCCGGAAAGAGCGCAATGAAAATACCAACATGGGCCAGTGAAGCGACATCCTCCACAACTAGACTGAAGAACAAAAGGACAGCAACTTGTTTGTTCCCCTTCCCCGATTCCCCAACAGTGTTCTCCTTTCCTAATTCCCTAATAAAATCTTAAAAAAAAAATTAAAAGGAGAAATAGACAATTCAACAATAATAGCCAAAGACTTCAATGCTTCACTTTCAATGATGGCTAGAACAACCAGACAGAAGATCAACAAGGAAATAGAAGACTTAAACAATATTATAAACCAACTATACCTCACAGACATTTATCCAACAGAAGCAGAATGCACATTCTTCTCAAGTACATGTGGAAACATCTCCATGATTTAACAAAAGAAGCACAAAACTTGTACACTGAGAACTCAAATATCATTGAGAGATTAAAGAAGAATTATATAATGGAAACACATTCCATGTTTATAAATTAGGACATTTATTAAAATGGCAATACTTCCCAAATTGATGTACATACTCAATACAATCCCTATCAAAATTAGAGTTGGTATTTTGTTTTTGTTGTATTTTTTTTTTTAATTGACAGGCTGATCTTAAAAGTCATATGGAATGCAAGGAATCCAGAATAGCCAAAATGATCTTGAAAAAGAAAAACAAAGTTGGAAGTTTCACACTTCCTGATTTCAAAACACACTAGAAAGCTACAGTAATCAAGCCAGGGTGATACTGGAATAAGGATAGAAATTCAGATCAATGAAACATAGTTGAGTATCCAGTAAACCTTTATATTTATGGTCAGTTGATTTTCAACATGGGTGCCAAGGCAATTCATGGGAAAGAATATTCTTTTCAACAAATAGGGCTGAGACAACTGGATATCTATGTGCAACAAAGAATAAAGTTGGGCTTTACAGAAATTAACTCAAAATGGATCATTAACCTAAATGTAAGAGCTTAAACTATAAAACTCTTAGAAGAAAACACTAATGTAAATCTCCATGATCTTGGATTTCACAATGGTTTCTCAGATAATGAAAGCACATATGACAAAAGAAAAAAATACGTAAATTGGACTTCATAAAAACTTAAAACTTGTGCTTCAAAGGACACTATCAAGAAATTGAAAAGGCTACCCACTGAACGGAAGAAAATATTTGCAAATTTGTATCTGACAAGAGACTTTTATTTAGAATATATAAAGAATGCGTACAACTCAACAATGAAAAGACAAATAACCCAATTTAAAAATGGGCAAAGGGCTTGAATAGACATTTCTCCAAGGATGACATATGAATAGTTAATAAACACATAAAAGATGTTCATTATGGAAATGCAAATCAAAATCACAATGAGATACTACTTCACATCCACTGGGATGGCTATAGTAAAAAAAAAAACCAGATTATAACAAGGTAGAACCTTCATACACTGTTGGTGGAGATGAAAATGATACTGCTGCTTTGGAAAACATCTGGCAGTTCCTCCAAAAGCTAATAAACTGTATGGCTCAAGAGTTCCATTCCTAGGTATATACCCAAGAGAATGAAAACATATATGTCTACCAAAAATTTTTTACATGGATATTCATAGTAGCATTAGTCATAATAGCCAAAACCCAGAAACAATCCAAATGTCACCATAAACTGATGAATAGACAAAGAAAATGTGGTATATGCATATAATGGAATATTATTCAGCCATGCAAAAGAATGATACATGCTACAATGTGGATGAAACTTGAACACATAATGATGAATGAAGGAAACCAGATATAAAAACTGTGTTTTTCTAGGACCCATCAGCTCCAAGTCAAGTCGTTGTCTTCAATCTAGCTGTGGAGGGCGCAGCTCACTGGCCCATGTGGGAATTAAACTGGCAACCTTGGTGTTATGAGTACCACTCTCTAACCAACTGAGCCAACCAGCAGCCCTGAAGTATGTGAATTTTAAGAATGCATTTGAGGGCCGGCCGAGTGACGCATTGGTTAAGAGCTGGCTTGGGACGCCAGCTCTGAGCAGCGGGGCTCCGGTTCGGATCCCACATTGGGCCAGTGACACTGCCCTCTACAGCTAAGATGGTGAACAACAGCTCAACCTGGAGCTGGGCTGCTGTGAGTCTCCGGCGACGGCATAGGCTGCAGCCCCTGCTGCAGTGGGTTGCCATGCGCTATCGTGTGTAGCCAGCAGCCAGCGTGAGCAGCCAGCAACCACAATGAGCGGCCATCCAGAAGCTGGCGACTGATCTGCCTCACCCAGGATGAGCGCAATGATGGTGCCAACTTGGGCCAGTGAAGCAACGTCCTCCACAACTAGACTGAAGAACAAAGCAACAGCAACTTGTCTGTTCCCCTTCCCCCAATTCCCGAGCGCTGTTTCCCTCTCCCAATTCCCCAATAAAATCTTAAAAAAAAAAAAGAATGTGTTTGACAAGATTTCCTTTCAAATCTTAGATACAAATATGCTCATTCTATACTACAAGGTTCAATTTTGGTTTTTCCTTTTTGAACCTGTGAATAGATCCCAGTTACTGTGTATATACTGATGATCCTTTATGAAAGTGGGGTCAAATCGCAGCCTGTTCCCTCTGCTCCCTCAACAGGAGGAGGTCTCTTCACACCTCTATGCCTCTCCACATGGTCTTCCTAATGTCTGGCCAGCTCCAACATCTAACATCTGATATCTAGTTCACATACCATTCTGGAGCCTTCCGAGATGTCATCACCTCCTTTTTTAGTATATGTGCTGCCGAAGTGAGCACATCATCACCTCCTTGATGTGCCCAGTGTCCCTGGCAATATTATGTGATAAGTATTCTCATAGAAGCAGACACGGGAAGTGTGATTACATTTACCTTCCCCTAGACTTTTATAGCTTATCGATGAAGCCTGTGACTTACTATGCCTTACACTGTATCTGGCATATAGCAATTCTCAATGTCCATTATTCTTTTATTTTGATATCAGGGTGAAATATTAGCTTGTAAACATATCCTGCTTTCTTGGGACATACATTTAAGTATGGTCAGTTGCCTTCGTCTGTTTCTCTTGCTTTCTTCTGGGCTTTATTCCTTTCCTTTAATGCTTTTACTTTGGGATCTCATATTTGAATTTAAAATAATAATATAATAAAATCACAGGGCTGCCTGAGTGGCTCAGTTGGTTAAGAGCTCACACAAGAGTTTGAGCTCTGAGCAACAGCGGTTCGAGTCCTGGCCCGAGCTGAGCAGCCACTGAGCTGCCAACAGGTGGCAGGATGGTTCAGCTTAAAATAAATAAATAAATAAATAAAATCACAATATAAGTCAGCACTTTTTTGATAAGGTTTCTTTAAAGCATACTACAGTCATTAATTTTGGTGGCAGAAAGTGGGCAGTAGGGATAGAGATGGTGAGAGAATAAAGGACAATTTACCTTAAAAACTTAGTAAAGAGTAGTTTCTTTTTCTCTTCTATTTTCTGTTAAAAGCATCATCATCTTCCTTTCAAGTCCTCTCTGTAGGTTAAAAAACAAATTGAAATTAATCATTTAAGTTTTGATATATTAAAAAAAATTTAAATATTTATTTCTTCTCCATTCTTATTGTCAATACCTAGGTCCTTTTTCCCTCCACTACTGGAGGATTTCAGCAACATTCCAGCTAATCTCCTTGTCTTGGTAGCTCCTTTTAGCCATTCTGGACACTCCTGCTCTATCAATCTTTTTAAGACTAATTTGTCCAGTCAATGTTCTAGTCCAGAACTTGCTACCTCAGCCTAAATTCTGCATCCCCCGCCCCCACATTTAAGGCCCTGCATACATTACCCCTTGCCTTCTCTCCTTCTCTTTGCTTAATGCGGGTTCTTGCTTGGGGCACAGGTCCTCTTTCCTTTATCTCAGGATATATCAGGCTTTGCTTGTAATCTTTTCCTTCTCTTGCTGTATCCACATTCTACCCATTCTTCAAGGTTCAGAAAGAATGCTACTTCCTCCTTGAAGATTTTCCTGGCATCTCCATCACATTCATAGCTCCTAAATAATTATTCTCATGTTTTGTAGTTGTGGCAAAATAGTGGAATCCTCTACCCTTTTCTCTTCATCTGTTAACAGGAGACCTACAGACCATTACGTGAGACAGGGGAACATGTGCTTATAGATATCTGAAGTGCAAATTTGTAATTTCCAAAATACTGGCTCTTCAACCATATGTAGCAGCTTCTCTGATTGCTTAAAGGAATGCGTCTCAATACAATCTAATAATATTCATTTTTGTTTAAAAGATGAAAAAGTAGGGAGTGTCTGGGGCATACGTTTATTTATCTCGCAAACCAGGAGATTCATTTCTTGATTTAAAAAAAGAAAGCTATACTCATATTTCCAATTAGTTTCTCCCCAAATATCTCCAAGCATGTCCTTCAAGCAGGCGTATTTTATTGTCAATGCGTTTGAAAGGCAACATTTGAAGGGAATAACCACAGACATACTTAGGGAACACGACCCGCAGTAAAGAGTCAAAAGCACACTCTCAGTGCTCATTATTGGGAACGCCATTGGGCCTGAATTTGTAGCCTCACTTCTCACATCCGTACAATGGAGATAATACTTGATAATATTTACTTCCCAGGGTTGTGGTGAAAGGTTTTCTTTTTGGTGAGCTGCGGGGCAGTTTGCCTCCATGGACCGAAGGGAGACGCTTTTCTCCCGGGATGCACTTCCTTGCGCGAGGCGGGGTGACCAGAAGGGGAAGCTCGTGGCGGAGTACAGGTCGCCCCGGCTTGAGGCTGGGCAAGGACAAGTCGGCGGCAGCTTGATGTACAGCACGGGGCCTTCAGCAGGAGCGCGTTAAGACTGTAGACGCCGAGCAGTCCTAGCTGGGCGTGCGTGCATCTGTGTGCGCCGGGTGCTGGGAGCGCGCTCGCATCCACAGCGCAGCGTCACGGCGCCGGGGCGGACGGTAGACGAGCGACAGCTGATAAGGCCGAGGGAATCCGAGGCCCCGGGGGCCAGAGTGCCCTGGCAGGGGCGGCGACGCGCCCTGTCGGTTGGCGCCTCAGCGCCCCTGGCCGACGGGTGTCCGCAGCGCCCCACGTGGCGGCCAGCCGGGTCGCTGCCGGGAGAGCCGATTTGCTCCGCCCCCGCCGAGCTCAGCTGCCCTGCTCAGCCTCTCCGCCCAGCTCTGGTCCGACCCTCTCCCTTCCCCCTCTCGGATCGCGATGGACGCGGCCTCCCCCCGCCGCCTCTGGCAGCACCGCGCGGGCCTCTGAGCTGCGGGGCCTGTGGAGCCGCGTGGCCTGTGGAGCCGCGTGCCGGCGACTGGCCTTGCGCTCGCTTTTGCCCATCGGGGGAACCTCTCGCTTTTCTGTCACCAGGTCCCCGCGGAGGAAGGGGAGGGACGAGGCGCGGCTTTTCCTGTGCCGCCTGCCCAGCTCGACCTGCGCGGCCTGCGGCTTCCTGGGAACTCGAGGGCCGCGGCCGGGCCTGGCTCTGCCCGCGGCCTGCTTGGAGCTAGACCGAAGTGGTTTGGAACGACAAGCCCGGGTGAGCTTGAGGGAACGGGAGGCGGGAGCGCCTTGGGCGGTCGGAAGGGCCAGGCCTGGGGGCCCGGATCCGGGACGCCGGGCTGCGGGCCGGCAGCGAGAGCCCCGGCCCCTGGTGAGGTCTGGTGGGCTGCTGCCGACTCACCCGCTTAGCCCCTTTGTTTCCCTCCCCCGGGCCTGCCCGCGGCGGGGCCCGGCTTGCCTGAGCCGGAGACCAAGGCGGCCCCCCTCCTTGCCCTTCAGAAGGGTTCGCTGCCCGGCCAGGCCGGGGACGACCCGCCGGGCCTCGGGAGTTCCGGGCGCCGCTCCCGGGAGACCCGCTGTCCTGCCCCGTGGCCTCCTCTCGGGCACCGAGGCTTGCTGCTTCTCCCGCAGAACTTCCCCCTCCTCCTAGACACAGGTAGCTAACTTAGCTGGGTTTGGTGCCGGGAAACCGGAGCGCGGTGCCTGCGCCTCCCGGCGCGGGGCTCGGCTGGGCCCAGAGTGTTGGGTCATCCCTGCTGGTCGCCGCCGTTGGGTGCTCACTGGTACCCGCCTCTGGATTCAGACACCCGCAGCTGGGTTCCCTGGGACCTAACGCTGCCCTCCTGTGAGGAAGTTGACAAGCTTTGGTAATGACTGACTTGCCTGTTGTGGCTGCTTCTCTGTTTTGTGTATGTAGCATATGTTTTTAACCAACTCCTCGGTTCTGTAGGGATGGGGAAGGAGGGCCATAGACTGGCCTATATTCTGATCCGTAACGTGTTAGTTCATTGCGGTTACTTTTAGCATTTCTTTTGAAACTTTTAAAAACAGTTTCCCAAGACTGCCAAAATAATTAACCAAGCCTTTATTCATAGATAGATTTTTGTATCCAATTATCGTTTGCATTTGGACTACTTTAGAATAGGAGTAAGTAAATTGAGAATTCAGCAGAATTGTGAAATTAGAGGTAATTTTAAAGCAGAAACTTAATTTGGAGAGGGACGGGATCAAACTGCTTAGACTGTCCTTAGAATACTGACTCTAACCTTTATCTGAAGATCAGTTTTGGGTGGAGGAGGGGGGAAGGAGTTTGCTGGAAAAAAAAAAAAGAACCTTTAGTAAGGTGTTCTTTGCCTTTTGGCACAGACGTTAGTGATAGCAGTTGTGGGATTCGATGCTTGTTTGACTGTCTTTGACAAAGACAGCTCTGGTTTCCAGTTACGCAGCAACCTAATCAGCTTATACTCTTGTGCAAAACTGGTTTTTATTTATTATGATATATGAACGTTAAACCTGAGGAATAAGGGCAATTGAAAAACTTCGTAAGCACTATATTCAAACATACTTAAGAGTCTTTTCTAATTTCTAGGAGTACATCACGAAAATTTGGTTCTAGCCGATGTAAAGGAAAGCATTTTAAACCCAAGCTGATCAGTCCTGGACATTTAAAGGACTTTTCCCCTTTACTTTCTAAACTTAAGCAAAGAGGCTTTTAAAAAACCATGGCAGATGTGGATCCGGATACATTACTGGAATGGCTACAGATGGGACAGGGAGATGAAAGGGACATGCAACTAATAGCCCTTGAACAGCTATGCATGCTGCTTTTGATGTCTGACAACGTGGATCGCTGTTTTGAAACGTAAGTACATCCCTTCATCATCTTCCTTTGGGGTTGCTGTAGTGACATTTTGTTTTCAACCATTTGCTGACTTCAGTTTGTGTAGAATTTTTTCTAGTGACTTTTACAATTATCTTTTTTAGTTTATGCAGTTTTGCATTTATACTTTTCTGAGAAATAAAAATTGGTAGGTGAAGTAGCTTGAGTAATGATAATTGTCATGACACAAGTGCATGTTTGTTGAATGAATAGGGATTAGTAGGGAGTACTATTTTAACCCATAGCTTGGTTGATTCATTTTCAAAATATGACACGAACTGGGAAAATACAAATACTTTTCGTCTTTAAAGGTAGCTATTTCTGTACCAAGAAACTGACATGGAAATACAGGTGATAATGAACACATGTTTACAACTAACTGCCCATTTCCTCATACGTATTAAGTCATATAACATCATACATTTGTACAACAAATCATTGACTTGTAAATTTCAGTTTGGAGGCTATAAATTGGATGTTACTCAATAGTTTACTTTTTGGAATAATAGAAACATTTTGAAGTTTGGAGAGTTTAAACAGTTTTATTCAGAGGTTATAATGTAGAATTTGTGCTAAAATGTAAAAGAGAATTTATTACTAGATTAGCCATTAATGCCATGTTTTTCCTCTTATGTGATACTTGCCCAGTAATCATTCTTCTGAATGCTGAATACATTTGGTTTTTATTGTTTATTTTACATTTATATCAGCAATTTTAAATTGCAGCAATAAGTAAATGAAAACTCAGATGTTTCTAAATGAAAACTCAGATGTTTCTATATTTGTTTTAACACCATTTTGAGATAATTAGTAGAAACTGAGGTGTTGACATAAAATTTGGTATAATTATCTTAGTTTTTCTGAGGTGGAAATAAAGGCTGTATTACTCATTCAATTGATCAGCTATTTTTAATTGTATTCATTTTTGAATGACTAAGTATTGAAAATGAATTAATTAATAATGAATAATTCTTAGTTGTAAACCTCATTAAAACAGTATACTATTATGATAAAGATCCTTATAAACAAAATTTCTGAATCACAATCTGTTAGCCCATTTATTTCAACTAGTTCTTGTTATTGACAAACTTTGAGTACATCATAATTCAGCCCCTTCTTTGACACTTGTTTTAGCAGGATTCATAGAAAAGTGAAGTAGAATTCTGAGTATTCATAGATTTCATTTCATTAGAGTGTCTTCATTAACCTGAGAAATTATGGTATTTTAAAAAGTAAGTCACACTTGCCAGTCAAATCAACTGTCATTTCATATCTTGTATTACGTACTGACATATAGTAGACGTATTTGTAATGACCTTAAAGTGTTACCATATTGAAACAATTTTAAAGGAAAATTTCAAAATGTAAAGCTCATCCCTATATAGAATTCTACCATTCTAATCACATAATTGTTATTCTTTCCATTTTCCCTTCTAGGCTTTATTCATATTTGATATAATGTAATTTTAAGAAAGGAAATTAAAGTCAGATGTGATTTATGTTTTATTTACTAAGTGAAGGTACAAGGGTATTTTAAATTGGAATGGTCAACCCTGTTTCATGTGGCATACCTGTAATTTGTCTATCAAAAATAGACATTTGCTTAAATTTATGACAATTTTTTCTAAAAATCATAGTTTGTTTGTTCTCTTTTTTCTACATGAAGACAGATTTTCTTGTTTTCTCAAGGAAGAAAAATTGTCTTGGTTCCTTTAAACCAGAGAGGCAGCATGGTGAGGTGGAAAAAATGGGCTGTAGCATCAGAGACCTGGGTTCAGATTTTTGGTCAGCTACATGCAATTTAGCTACTGAGAGCCTTACCTTCTTCCTCTAAAATGGCAGTAATCTTATTTCTGGTAAGCTTCTTGTGAGGAGTAAAGGAAAGAATGTAGTATGTGAAAAGTGTTTTATGTGAAGTAGGCTATTAAATGTCATTGTTATTAAAAATATATATATGTATATATAATTAAAAAAAAATTTACTGGGGAATTGGGAAAGGGGAACATTGTGTTTTTCCAGGACTCATCAGCTCCAAGTCCAGTTGCAGCTTTCAGTTTAGCTGGGGAGGGGTGGGGGAGTGCACAACCCACCATCCCATGTGGGAGTTGAACCGGCAACCTTGTTGTTAAGAGCATGCGCTCGCTCTCACCAACTCAGCGGCAGCTGAGCTCGGGGGATGGGTGTGGGGGAGCTCACTAGCCCATGTGGGAATCGAACTGGCAACCCTGTTGCTCAGAGCTCATGCTTTAAACAAATGAGCCACCTGGCGGGCCCCTAAATATATAATTTTGAATTTTATTTGAGGACTTAATTTTGAATTTTATTTTGGGACTGATTTTGTAGAGTCTTTGAACTCTTTGAAACAGTCAGCAAATAAGGCAGCGGAAAAGCAAGATGATGTTCATATTTTAGATATTGGTGAAAATCTCCCATACCAACTTGGTTTCTTAAGGTAGTAGCAAATAGTTCTTACTTAGGTTTCGTAAAGCAAGATGTCTATATGTTCAAATGTGGTTTTGCTTGATTAGCTTGTATTGATAGGTAAATGTCTGTTTAGTCAGGAAAGGCAGATTGCGTGGTAGAAATAATGGCCTTTGGAATGGGATTGATATGGGTTCAGGTTTTCGTGAGGATTAAATGGGATAATGCTTGTGAAATGCCTAGCACAGTGCTTTTCACATAATAAAGTGTTTCTCGTCCTTTAACTTAGTATAGTATAGTATGTGGCTCTCCATTTTTTTTTTTTTTGTACCAGTTTTCCTAGCCTTTTCCAATTAAGGAATACACATTTTCTGTGAAGCTGAGATGCTTTTTATTAATGCCTAAACCTAAGGCAATGCTCTAGAAAGTAAAATTCAGGTTAAGGGTTGGTTTTTTGCTTTCATCTGTGATAATATCATTGAATTATTTTTAATATAAGTCTTAAGTTCAATGTTACAGATAACTATTTTGCATTCACATTGAAACAGTTGATCAGCGGGCCGGCCGAGTGGTGCGTTGGTTAAGAGCTGGCTTGGGATGCCAGAGGGCTCTGGTTCGGATCCCACATATGAGGGCCAGTGACACTGCCCTCTGCAGCTAAGATGCTGAACAACAGCTCAACCTGGAGCTAGGCTGCCGGGAGTTGCTGGCAACGGGCAACGGCGTAGGCTGCAGCCCCTGCTGCAGTGGGTTGCCATGGGCTACCGTGTGTAGCCAGCAGCCAGTGTGAGCGGCCAGCTCCAAGTCAAGTAGTTGTTTCAATCTAGTTATATATCGAACTGGCAACCTTGGTGTTTGAGCACTGCGCTCTAACCAACTGAGCTAACTGGCCGCCCCTCAATGAACTTTTTGTACTTGGGTACATTAAAATTTATTGGTCTCTCGTACATTGAATGGATTTTTAACCCATGTTTAAGTTAGTGAAATCATTCACTTGTCATATATGAAAAATGTTTGTCTATTGAGTTATATAGATATTCCAAATGTTGATGTGTCATTCTATAGTATCACAAACACATTTGCTAATATAACTACTGATTTCATCAGAAAAGTCTTTAAATATTGGGAAGCTGTCAAGCTCATGGTGGCAGATACAAATTTTCCAAAATTGTAATTTTTGCTTGAATACTTTAATATTATCATTGGCAGCAAACTCTTGAAATGGAAGACTTACTTCATTAATTTTTGAGAAAATGTTTGCCAGATATCCAAGTCTGAATAACCACAGTTTGTCTGAAGCTCTTTCAAGTAAAAATGGTGTTGCATGAAAAAAGTGACTAGTTCGGCTCTCTGAAGGTTGTACAAGTACTTTACCTTGACACAACCATCATTCGTTGGTATGCAGAAGTGCTTTATGCTTATTTCTCATTTCCTTAAGAAAAATATTAAAAAGGTACACACGTAAGGGTTGAGATCAGTAAAATTAATAATTTTTTTGCTTTATTAAAGTTATTCTGTAGTGGAAGTGACTTTTTTCTCCTCCATGCCAGAGCTTGTAAAAGACTAAGTAGTACAATTTAGTGCTGCTGCTTTGATTCATGCTAAAGCACAAGCAGTTTTATCCACCACTGCTTTTGCATCACAAGTTTACATGTAGACACAAGAAAGAAATGTTTCAAGAAGAGACAGGACAATTGTGTTGAATACTGGTGAGAGGTCAAATAGGGTAAAGACTAAAGGGTGTCCTTTGCATTTAGCAACATTCTCAAGGTCATTGATCTTAATGAGGGCTGAGTCTCGGAGTGGTGAGGGGCAGATTTGAGTGGGTTAAGGAGGAAGTAGGACCTGAAGAATGAAGACAGAGCAGAAAACTTTTTTGAGAAGTTGGATATGGAGTGTGGGGCTTTTTCTTTAAAGGTCTAAGAGAGAAAATGGATAACCCATAGTATAAAGATTCTGAGAAGCTGGAAGAGAATTGGCTTTTGTCAGGAGAATTGCTTTTTAAACTTTAACCTGGGTAATGTGAATCACCTGGAGATCTAAGATGCAAATTGTGATTCAGTTGGACAGGTGTGATGCCTGATATTCTGCATTCCTAATATGCCCCCAGATAATGCTGAAGCTGTTGGTCAGGAAAATCCCACGTTGAGTAGCAAAGCTTTGATGCTCTGGTGGAGAGAGAAGTTTTAGGTGGTGTTCCTTGTTGGTGAAACCAGGAAGGTGGAGAGGTTAGATGAATATGTTTTAGGTTTGATAGTAAAAAGTTGAAGGAATTTCTATCTGATGACATCTATTTTCTTCTCCCTGAACTAGGAGATTAAAAAGAACAGTATCTAGGATTAGTATAGGGAAATGATTATGCTCAGTGCTAGGAGCTTCCTAACAGATATCGCTGCCTCTAAGCTAATTATACCCAGAATTATAATATTAAAATATTTTATGGTCTTTTATTAAAGTATAATTGACTATAGTATTAAAATATTGATTTGATTGTACCATTTTCTTTTATGAAATGTTTTAGTTTCTTTACCTAATGGATGAGATTTAAATTCCTTCAAAGA